AGGAGCTTGTGCGACTGGTTGGGTTGAGTGCCACTTTACCAAATTATGAAGATGTTGCAACCTTTATGCGTGTGAATCCTGCAAAGGGTTTGTTCTTTTTTGATAACAGCTTCAGACCTGTTCCACTGGAGCAGCAGTACATTGGTGTTACAGAGAAGAAACCAATAAAAAGACTGCAGGTAGAGACTTGTGCCAGTGGCCTTTGAGTTATGATTGCTAATGACAGGCTTCGGCTGATTTCGTCAATGAGAGCAACAGTGTTAATTGTTTATATTTTTGCCCTTCATTTTTGACTCATATTGAGGTAGAACCCCTCAAATTGTAGATCCAAACATAGGCATTGTTTCAAGAGAAATCAAACACAATTTGAATACATTTGAATACTATAACAAATTACAGGAAATTGCTGAGTTTGAATGTGTGATTCAGTTGGCATTGTTATGATATTGTCACATTAACTATTTTTTTTATTTCTTTAACTCCCAAGATCTGATTATTTATTCTCCCCTCTAGCTGCTACACATTTTCATGTAAATTAGTAATGAGAATTTGGTGATAGATCACATAACAACTTCTAACTGATAAGTTTGAGTATTCTCAATACTTGTTTGTTGTACAATCTTGTAGGGAGAAGTTACATTTTAATCACTTCTGGGGGTTAAAGTGTTAATGAGGAATAACTTTGTGTTTCAGGTGATGAATGATGTTGTTTATGAGAAAGTCATTGAACATGCAGGAAAGAACCAAGTGTTGATCTTTGTTCACTCAAGAAAGGAGACCAGTAAAACAGCAAGGGCCATAAGAGATCTTTGCCTGGAAAGAGACACTTTAGGACATTTCTTGAGGGAAGACTCGGCAAGCACAGAAGTGTTGAGGTTGGTATTGGTATGTTACATCACAGACTTGCATCTGCAACAGACTTACATTCTACATGTATCAACTTTCCCATTTTTTTCCACTCAAATTTTAAGAGTTTATCATCAGATTAACACGATTCGATTGAAATATTTGCTCATGTCTTTAGACTGGGTTGGTACAGCTGTACATAATGAATCCAAAATGTAATTGTACTGGGTTAGCCAAACATATAAACCTTCACTCTTTCTATAAAAAATTATAGGGGGTATCTTTCCTTTATGATGCATTAATAAGGATAAAAAAAAATTGCAAAATAGTAGGAACATGATAAATGGGAACCTCAAGAAAAGAAATGCGTAGACAATTTTCATACATGAACATGACATAGGATTGTAAATGTAGACTTCCATTGAAACAAGTGTCACAACTTGAATTTTGAATTTGTTGAGCACACCCATGTTGAGATGACACATGCTTTTCGATGAAAAGTGTTCTTCTTGAATGCTGTACTTTAGAACTGAAGCTGAGCAAGCTGTGAACTTGGAACTCAAGGATCTGCTCCCTTATGGTTTTGCTATTCATCATGCTGGTATGACAAGAGTGGACAGAACTCTAGTAGAAGATCTCTTTGCTGACAGGCACATCCAAGTGTTAGTCTCCACAGCCACGCTGGCTTGGGGTGTGAACTTGCCTGCACACACAGTCATCATAAAGGGAACACAGGTGAGAATTTCCTTTTATGGTGGACAATTGCAGATTAACTCCATGCTGAGTTGCCAAGAACTTTTTGGCAAGGAATGTGATAGTGCCAAACAGGTTCATACATGTATGTGAGAAGTGTCCTATGCACTTTTAGGATCAGGACTGCGGTAGACTTAATAATAATAATGATGATGATAACAACTTGATTTTGGTGTCTAATGGCTCTGGCACCAACCAAAGACATGTGCTAATTAGGACATTCGAATTACAGTTACAGTCCTCCTGACCTGAGAATACAATTAAATTACTTATAATCCTAGCAATTACACATTACTACAATTAAAAGAAAATTTATTCCTCATGATTCAGAAGAAAGAAATAATTTTTATGAATTATTAACTGAGAAAAATGCAAATTCCCGAGAGTTCCACTTTTGACAGTGGTACTTTTGATCTAAAAGTTCATCTAGGTGTGTTCATGCTGTTCAAAGACACAGTATTTGTGATCACAGAAGTTGAACATATAGGATACTTAGATGATTAACTGCACATTTTTCTTGTCAATTGAAATAAAATTTCCACAGCAGTAGTAAATGCATGGAGTGAGATTAAAATACGCGCATTTTCCTGTAAACCACTTCGTGGTTGACTTTCCTATGGCACACATGTTACTACACACCCTGAAGGACATGTAATTTACACTTAGTACATGTGCTTGGCGTGCATGGGGGTGCTGCAGTACATTTGAATGGTACTGTGCATGTAAGTCAGTGGCACATTCAAAAGCTATGAAATCAAACATTGGTCAGTGTACTTATGGCTATGATTTGCGAGCAACAATCCCAAAGATAGGCAGCAACATAGTCTTTGATGGAGCAGTTTTGTGCTTTTGCAGATCTACAATCCTGAGAAGGGTCGCTGGGTGGAGCTGGGTGCACTAGATGTGATGCAGATGCTGGGGCGTGCAGGTCGTCCACAGTACGACACCAAAGGAGAAGGCATCCTGTTAACAAGTCACAGCGAACTGCAGTATTACCTTTCACTCATGAATCAACAGGTGACTCCAAGGATCTGATGATTAACCCTTTATAGCCTAACATTCAGGGGGGATTTTGAAAGGAGGAATTAGATGCTAGTCACTCTCAGGGATGAAAGGCTTAATACTCCCCTCTTGTTGCTCTGTATTGCCTTGTAACTTGATGTTGTTTCAAGTAAACATTCTCCACTTGATAGGGTTGTTTCCTTTTTCTATCTGTGGCTGAAAAGTTTAATGAGATTTTTTAGGAGAAGTTCTATGCTGATCACTTGTGGGGGTTGAAGGGCTAATGCTTGTAACTGCACTTCTCATGGAAACACAATTATTTGAAATATTCTGGTCAGTCTTTAACTCTCACATGTGACCAAGGCAGAATTTCTCATCCCAATACCAATACGACATCAAGCAGACAAGTGATTAGAATAATGAAAAATTATTAGTTGATCCAATACCAAATTCTCCAAAGGAACATCATGAGAATCGTCTGGCAGACAGTAAGGAGAATTTCCCTTGAGATCTGAGGGGGTGGAAGGGGTAGATTTTTAAAATGATTGAAATGCAGATGACGAACAAACCATCATTGATTATTCTTCAAATTATAACAGAATTCTTGTAACAGGGGGAAGTTACATGTAGCTTTTTTGTTGTGTTCATATTCAACTCTTCAGGATACAGTTTTCAATCATTACAGCTAGTCTGGGATATGCAAGTCCTGTTTAGTCATCTAATTAAGTGATTTATCTCCTTCAGTTGCCCATTGAAAGTCAGTTTATCAATAAACTGGCTGACAATCTCAATGCTGAAATTGTGCTGGGGACAGTGCAGAATGCTAAGGAGGCTGTGCATTGGTTAGGTGAGATGTGGCATCTTTGTGATCCAAAACTGAGTCTTCCTCACATTTTTGGAATTATGGAGAGTGTAGAACTGCTTTTGATTATTGATTTTAATACTCTTTTTCATTAGGGTACACTTACTTGTATATTAGAATGCTAAGAAATCCTTCCTTGTACGGGATCTCTCATGACGAGATTGAAAAGGACCCACTTCTTGAACAGGTTTGGCTTTTTAAATGTAGAGCTTCATGGTATACAGTGGGCACGTTTTAGTATGTCAGCTGATGTTTTCAATTAAAAAATATTTGCTTGGAAACTGATTTGTGATTGAAATTAATCCAAAGCTTTAAATTGATCCTTGTTTTCTTGAGAATGGCTCTCGCAGATGCTGGTTCCTTGTGAGTGATTGTGTGGGTTGATCTTTCTCTGATTGTTAATGCCTTTGAAGCAACATTTTGCTCAAAGAGCTAAGATTTTGGAAGAGAAATTGTAGATAAACCGAAGCACATTACCTTGCTTGAATTCAACCATAACTTAGTTCAATGTTCATGTTGATTTGTAAATGCGAGGTTACAGCATAGCTGTTTAGTGCAGCGCATTTTATTGAATAATTTGGTGCAATTCTGGGGCGCTTCAGGAAATTTAAAAAAATTGGTCCCTGGACATTACAGTTTTACTTTGAGTCAGAAATAAATAAATAAATAAATAAATAAATAAATAAATAAATAAGCAAAAATTAGAGTAAGATGGAGAGTTTAGAAGACACAATTCTAACTGTATTATGTCTAAATTGATGATTTAGCGAAGGGCAGACTTAATTCATTCAGCAGCCTCTCAGCTGGACAAAAACAACCTGGTGAAATACGACAAGAAATCTGGAAACTTTCAGGTGAGATGGAAAGTCTGATCTTTTGTTTTTCATTAGATCTTTTTTCTTTCCTTCAGTTTTGCATTAATTTTTGTACACATCGTCAATGGCTTTCCTTGATTTTCCTTTCAGGTGACTGAATTAGGTCGTATTGCCAGCCATTATTACTGCACCCAAGAAACTATTGCTACATACAACAGCCTGCTGAAGCCCACTCTGAGTGAGATTGAGCTGTTCAGAGTGTTTTCTCTGTCTTCCGAGTTCAAGTACATCACTGTTAGAGAGGTAGAACGATAAATGAAATCAAAATGAAACGTTATGTGAATGTGAGTTTGGTGTCCTAACGGGCGGCGGTGTGGGAAAGAGGTGTGGGTTTGAGACTGGGGCTTGTCACTGAAATGAACTCTCGCCATGCCTCTCTCCATCTAGGAGTATGAACGGGT